AATCATAATTTTATATGCTTGTTAATTGCATTTTCTATTTTGTGATTTGCCTGCCTGCCTATGTTGATTGCCTGTTTGAAAGGCTTTTACTGTATTAACCCTGTGCATACCTTGACTCTTGTTTTGCTTTTTATTACAGTATTTCTCATTGCATAGAAGTTGGGATTTTTATGCAACTGACTCTATTAGACTTTTCCTTGTTATTTTTTTTTTTAGATTCCAGCAGAGAGAAGAAAGAGCTGACAAATATAGAATTGTTTTTAGCCTTTAAAAATTATATTTTTAAACATTTCCCCCACTGTAAGAGTAATGCATTTACACTTTAGAAATTTGAAATATACAAAAAATGTGTAAAATATGAAACCACATTATTCTACCATCCAGGTTTTTTTGTTTTGTTTGTTTTTTGTCCTTTTTCTTTCTCACATCCACATTTTAAAAATTGTGTTTTTCTTTCTTTGGATAGTATATGATATACTGCTTATGACCTATTTTTTATATTATCATTACATAATTAAACTTTTACATTTCACTAAATATTATTTGATAATAAATAATTTTTAAAAGTCTCTCTAGAGTTTATTTTGAGATGAACTAAATTCTCTCTCCCTCAAATTGCTATTTATAGATCCTTAAACCAATGACTAAACAATCTGTTCTTCTCAGATTTCTCAGTGGTGTCTGCTTTACTTTTCTAGCATGTTCTTATCTAATATCAGTCTATTGTAAGGCTGTCTGTGCTGTTCATAGACCCAGGGCACTGCACCTGTAATAGGCTCTTCTCTCTTTTTTTTCTGAGTCCTCAGGGCTTTCTGGAATGAGCCATAGCCTGGACCAGAGTCTCCAATGGAGTCTAGCAGTCATGCCTGCTGTTTTGTTAATTTTTAATCCCATCCCAGTTGGAAAACAGCTCTAACCCCTCCTCCACCTTTTTTTGTATTGCCAGATGTTTGTTCATCATTCTGAGAAAAATGAGCCTTGGCCTCCAGACCTAATAAAGCACATATCCCTCCCATGAAGAATAGTGCTAGATCCTGAGGACCTGGATCTCCTGCAGTCCCCAGGGATTACCCAGAGCAGGTAAGAAACACATGGAGGTGTGGGCTCCAGAAGGCAGCAAAAGGGAACATCCCTGAATAAAAAACAGTGTGGTAGAGTGTACTGATAAGGATCACCTACAGCTTTGCTGTTTCCTTCATGTGTTTGTTTTTGGTTGATTCAGTGAAGGGTGAGGATAGGTGGTTTGCTTCTGTCTATACTCTATAGACAAGATTTGAAGTTATTCTGTAAATCTGCCTGTGTGCCCAAGCCTGCATTTGATGCCACCCGTGCAGTGATAGATAGCCGGGCAGGTGGCGGAGCCTCAGCTTGGCTGGGATTTTCTTTCTGTTGGTTCAGTGTTGACTTGTTTTCTGTAGGTGATAACATGAGTGTCATTGTATTCTTCTAGGAGTCTGATGGGAGTTGTAAGGATTCATTGATACAGTCCCTTCTGTTCAATAATCCTTTTGAATGCCCCTTTTTTTTTCTAGACACTGTGCTGGGTTCTGGATTTCAGAAATGATCCAGGAGGAGTTTCCCTCTGCAGAGATCAGTGTGAAAAGCTAGTACTAGATGCCAGAGGACAGAGTAAGAAAGGTGTTAAAAGGGAGGTGGGCTCCACAGGAGGTCAGCAGTAGAAAGGTCATGCTGTCTGATGGCCAGATAAATGGATTATGGGAGAGAGTGCAGCAGTGTCAAGGCCTGGGAGCTTAATAGATTGAGAAATTCAGAGTTTGGTGTATTTTCCCAAAGAGTTTAGGAAGAAAACATTTCCTACCTTCTTCCTTTACTTTGGGCTGCTTAGATTAAACTTCATCAGTCCCTCTCTCTTGATAAATGAGAAGGACTTGAAACTCGAAGTGCCTATGGCGAGAAGCTTCAGCAGCTGGTGGACTTGGTGTTTCAACAGAGAGTGCTGTTCAAGAGGGCCAGGAGGTGTCAGATGAATTTCTTGAGGCCACGATAGGGCACAGATCCTAAAGGCTGAGGCTGTCTTAAAGTTGCAGATCTGTGTTGTGCCTGGTTGTGTGGGAATGCCTCTTTCTCACTTTCTCAGGAACCTCAACTTTGGAGAGTAGGTCCTGTCAGGAAGCTGCACACCAGCCCTTTCATTTCACACATCCAGAGAAAAGTTAATTCCCAACTCCACTATTTCCAAATCACTCATGCCACATTGAAAATAATTTATATTAGCTGTCAATGGTGCTAATAAAAATTTCCCTCCTTTTTCTCACAAGGCTATACTGGGTCTCATAAGTATAACTACTGTGAAAGGGCTGCCTGAGAGGTAAACTGTGCACACGGGTAATGACTGCTGAGGTGCTTATGCTAAGGGTGGTTTCCTGTAATTGTTTGGCAGATTGAGTTGTCTCGCTAGTGATCCTGTTTGGTCAATATTGTCTTTTCACTGTCCTTTATCACAAACTGGAGGCCCAATGCCCAGAATTTGTGCAAGAGTAGGCCTTCCCTCCCCCAGCTGCCAGCACCAGCTTCCCTCTGGGACTTGGGCTTCCCTCCAGCTACCAGCAGGCATCTGGGACCCAGGCTGGAAGGTCATCCAGTCTAATTAGCATATTATGCTTCTATTATTATAGATGCCTGTCCTTTTAGTGCAAATTAACATTTAGAATCAAAGAGACCTGGGTTGGAATCCCTGCGCTAGCACTGGTTATTGACTTTGGGAAAGCCCTGTGGTAAGCTTCAGTTTCTTTATTTCCTCAAATGGGGTATTTAATAACTACCCCAGTGGTTCCCAACCTTTTTTTTTTTTTTTTGGCAATGTCCCACCTAAGCATCTCTAAAATCCTAATGCCCTCTCCCTGTGATATATAATTCTTATTATTAAAAAAGTGAATTCCTATTCATGTGGAGGAAGACTAAAAGGCCATTAACTTGGCCTAAACAAGCTTCCAAAGAACATGGCATCCATGAAAGAGAAAAATAAAAGAACAAAAGGACAATTGAAGTACTGAAGGAAGAAATCACTGAGAAATTTAAATATATATATATTTTATTGATATTCTTACAGAGAGGAAGGGAGAGAGATAGAGAGCTAGAAATATCGATGAGAGAGAAACATCGACCAGCTGCCTCTTGCACATGCCCTACCAGGGATGTGCCTGCAACCAATGTACCTGCCTTTGGCTGGAATCAAACCTGGGACCTTTCAGTCTGCAGACCAACGCTCTACTGCTGAGCCAAACCGGTTTCAGCTCACTGAGAAATTGTTAAAATAATAATAATAATATTAAGTGATATGAAAAAATAGCAAAGTTTCAAAACATAATAGAAAACTGAAGTGCATAAATATGCCACACTATATATTTATATACTGTATATGAGGCCCCCAGAACCATAAGAAATGCAAAAAATTCACTGTTAATAACTCATTCTCAAATTGCCCCCTGTGGGGCATGTGCCCCATGTCGGGAACTACTGATATACCCCATCGTGTTATGGTAAAAATTAACCGAGAGATTGTAGGCACTTCTTAAATGCTACTTTTCCTTCTCTGGTTCTTCAGCTGTCATAGTCATGTGATTGGCTGTGTTGGGGTCTGAGGAAATTGAGTTTCTTAGTTTTCTGATAATGTGACAAGCCCTCTCCATCTTTCTTGATTTCAAGTTTGAATTCTCTCTGTAGGGAAGTGTCTATAGATCTGTAGAGGGTTAGCCAAAGCCTGGGGGTGATTTCTTATGCTCATTATGGTAAATAAGCCTATTTAGTTAGGAATGAGTTAAATGTTTTTTAAAAGATACAGACACTGTTTGAGGTCAAAGTGCTTTCATCTTCCATTCAGTTACACAATACATTCTGGGTAAGCAAAGTAGTTCTTTACCCAGATATAAAAGGGACTATTCAGATTCTATTTTCTTAGTGCAATCAATTTCCCAATTTCAGCAATTCTGTACAGGAAGCAGTAAAGAGGACATGGATTATGGATCTTATTCAGCTTTGTGATCCTAGGCACCTCTCTTAACCTCTCAGAGCCTCAAATGGCTAATCTATAAAATGGAAATGAGAATACTGTGGCTAGTGATGGTTGAGGCCTCTGCACAGCTCAGGGGATGTCTTCATACTAGACTATCATATATACATATATATATATATATATATATATATATATATATATATATATATATGGTCCTTGCTGGAGTTGTATATCACAGTGGTCCTGGTTTATGGTGACTTTAAATGCAACATCTTGTGTGCTTAATTCATCTTTGTGTGCTTCATTTTCTGAATTGGTCACTTATCTGCTATCTTACCAAGATTTCTTATCCTTTACCACGAGGTCAGCCAGCTTCCCAACACTTGATAGCACTCTCACAAGACACTCCATAAGACTGAGTATGGTGAAGCTAACCCTAGTTCTTCTTCTCACTCAGGAGTCCAACACTGCTTAGATGCATCACAAAGCTAAGGCACTGTCTGTGGCAAGAGATCTTTCTGGTAATTTTAGGATTCTGAGCCCCTTAGAATTTTAGAGAATTTGGGTTGTGATTTAGACCAGTTAGCCTGCTCTTCCTTTTCTTCTAGTTTTTCAAACATGCAGGCCTTTATTTAACAGGTAGTGTAAGGCCCTAGGAACCTAATCATTCCTGAGATGTGATTCCTGACCTCAGAAGTGCAGAGTGCAGTTGAGGAACTAGACCGAGACAAAAGAAACTAAGATTCAGAGTGTAAAAAGAAATCACAGAGAACACAAACAGGAAGGGAGTGTCTGAGGATTGTTCTCTACATTCGAAACCCAAACTGAGACGGTTTTTTTTTCTCTTTTGACAGCTGCAGACCTGGTGGAATTCAAATTTTGTCACTCTAAATCCATTGCTCGGCCTGTCACCCTGCCTCTTGCCAGTCATACTTGTAGATTTTCTTTACATAATTTTTTTTTTTTTTGGCCTTAGGCTTGTTTTCCTGCTCAGAACAGAGTGGCTCCCTTGAATGTATCCTTCATTATGATTCACACCAACTTGAAGAAAAAATTCAGCTACTGTGTGCTGGTCTTTCTCCTGTTTGCAGTCATCTGTATGTGGAAGGAGAAGAAGAAAGGAAGTTACGATGATTCCCTTAAATTGCAAACCAAGGAATTCCAGATGATAAGGGGTCTGGGAAAACTTGCCATGTGGTCTGGTTCCCAGCCTGCACTTTCAAGCAAAATCCAGGACTCCCACAGGGGCAACCAGGCCCTTGACAGTTCTAAGAATCCAGTCAAGATTTTTCAGGTGTGGAACAAAGACAGCTCTTCCAAAAACATTGTTCCCAGGCTGCGGAAGATCTGGAGGAATTATATGAACATGAACAAGTACAATGTGTCCTACAAGGGACCAGGGCCTGGTGTCAAGCTCAGCGTAGAGGCCCTGCGCTGCCACCTTCGGGACCAAGTGAATGTATCCATGGTAGAGGCCACAGATTTTCCCTTCAATACTTCTGAATGGGAGGGTTTCCTGCCCAAGGAGAACATTAGGACCAAGGCTGGGCCATGGGGCAGGTGTGCTGTCGTCTCATCAGCGGGATCTCTGAAGTCCTCTCAACTGGGCAAAGAAATAGGTAGGTTCTTTGGTATTAAGATTGTTATCTGGCCGAAACCGGTTTGGCTCAGTGGTGGAGCGTCGGTCTGCGGACTAAAAGGTCCCGGGTTCGATTCCGGTCAAGGGCATGTACATTGGCTGCGGGCACATCCCCGGGTAGGGGATTTGCAGGAGGCAGCTGGTCGATGTTTCTCTCTCATCGACGTTTCCGGCTCTCTATCTCCCTCCCTTCCTCTCTGTAAAAAATCAATAAAATATATATTTAAAAAAAAAAAAAGATTGTTATCTGAACATGAGATTGCTACCTCATTTGGAATAGCTAGGCACAGATAAGACCGGAGACTGTGGTAAGTCTCCGTGGACTGGCAGACCAGGCCTAGGTCAGTATTTTTTTTTTTTAAATATATTTTATTGATATTTTACAGAGAGGAGGAAAGGGGAGAGATAGAGAGCTAGAAACGTTGATGAGAGAGAAACATCGACCAACTGCCTCCTGCACACCCCCTACCGGGGATGTGCCCGCAACCAATGTACATGCCCTTGACCGGAATCGAACCTGGGACCTTTCAGTCTGCAGACCGATGCTCTATCACTGAGCCAAACCGGTTTCGGCTCAGGTCAGTATTTTTTAATTACTTGTGAGCCAGAGGTGCCTCAGGGGCAGTTAAAAGGATGGGGATCCAGTCACCTGCATCTTTATCAGTTAGAATAGCTTTATTTTTATCTGTTTTAAACATTGGTGTTCTGAAAATTTTATTTAAAAAAGGAATTCTACTTATACAAAGAAGCAAAATGTTATAATTGGCATTTAAAAATAACTTAAGGACAGATCTCTACTTTCTCTTCAGATTCTGAAATGTGTAGGTTGTCTCTTTTGGCTCTAACTACCTGAGTAATTTTAAGCTTTTCTGTTTGAAAAGAATAAATTAGAGCAGGAATTATTATTTTCCCTAGTACCTGCCTGTAATGATGCATAGTTATTATAGCATTATTGACTATATTCTCTATGATATATTTAACATCCCCATGTTTATTTTGTAACTACCAATTTTACTTTCTAATACCCTCATTTTTTTTTTTACCCAGTTCCTTAATCCCATCTCATCTGGAAATCCTTAGTTTGTTCTCTGTATCTATGAGTCTGTTTCTGTTTTGTTTATTTGTTTATTTTGTTTTTTAGATTTCACATATAACTAAAATTATATAGTATCTGTTTTACTCTGTCTGACTTATTTCACTTAGCATAACACCTTCGAGGTTTATCAATATTGTCACAAATGCTAAGATTTCATTTTTTTGACCAAGTAGTATTCCATGTATCTATGTACCACATCTTTTTGTTTGTTTGTTTGTTTATACCTTGATTGATTTCATTTTATTATACCACAAACATAACTTTGTTCAGGAAAGACATAAGAAGAAAAACAAATATCAAGCCAAAAAACTACAGATGCTCCTTGACTTATAATGAGTTATGCCCCGATAAACCCATCGTAAGTCCAATGAATTTCATTCACGTAACCTCATAGCTGAGCCTGGCCTACCTTCAATGTGCTCAGAACACGTACATTCGCCTATGGTTGGGCAAAAGCATCTCTCTGCCCCTGCCCAGCATCACGAGAGACTGTCATACCAAATAAAGCAGCCCAGCAAAAGGTCAAAACTCAAATCACAGCTCCTACTGAATCAGCTTTCACACCACCCTAAAGTCAGAAAGCCATAAGCTGAACTACCGATTAAACTGGGGACCGTTTGTATTCATCTCACTAATAAGTAAAAGGATTACATTAACCACAAAATTTTAATTCTATTATTATAACAGCAGTATAATTCAAAGTGTTTTATATTTGTATGTTTAGGTTTTTATTTTTTATTTATTTTATTTTATTTATTTATTTTTTTTTCTGAACAGAAGTTTATTTAGAATACTCACAATAAAAGATTAAAAATAGTCTGGTTTCCAGAGTTTCTACATTTTTCCTTAACTATAAACAAAGTTCTGAAAGTTGCTTGAAGTGTTCACATTTCTGCTACATATTTTTTTAATATATTTTATTATTATTTTTTTAAATCAATCTTTATTGTTCATATTATTACAAAGGTTCCTCATTTCTTTCCCCCTCCACCAGGTTCCCACTCCACCCTCCGCCCCCTTCCCCTCCCCCATTGACCTCATCCATAGGTGCACAGTTTATGTTCAGTCTCTTCCTCCCTCCCTTTCCCCGATAGTAAATTCCCTTTCAGATAGTAAATCAGTTACTTAGCATTTTTTCATATCAATAATACCTCCACATACCCAAAGATACACTTCACACAAAAGACATTTCCAAATAGGTCAACCAACCTCATCTAGGCCCCGCACAAGGCACTCACAGATCAACACCCCAGCGCTATACTAACTCAACATATCCAGATCTAAGCCTTCATCACTTGATTCAGCAGACCCTCAAGTTCTCGCAAAAGTTTCCAGCCATGTCTGAGAGGCAGCCTTGGGGCGGGGGCAGGCAAAGAGCGAGCTGTTCCGGGCCTGGATGCTCCGGGCCTGGCCTCTGTTGCTCTGGTCCGTTCCACAATCAGCTGCTCCGGGTCTGGCCACTGCTGCTCCCGACCTGGTTGCTCCGGGCCTGGCCACACCCAACCCTCTGGGCCTGGCTGCTCTGTGCCTGGCTGCTCTGTGCCTGGCTGCTCTGGGCCTGGCTGCTCCGGGCCTGACCGCTCCCAGCCTGACAGCTGCTGCTACGGGCCTGGCTGCACTCAACCCGGCTGCTCCGGGCCTGGCTGCTCCCAGCCTGGCAGCCGCTGCTCCGGGCCTGGCCACACCCGACCCGGCTGCTCCGGGCCCGGCCGCTCTGGGCCCGGCCGCTCTGGGCCTGGCTGCTCCGGGCCTGGCCGCTCCCAGCCTGGCAGCTGCTGCTCCAGGCCTGGCCGCACTTGACCTTGAACCACATCTTTTTTTATCCTTCATCTGCTTTCATATCTTGGCTACTGTAAGTAATGCTGCAGTGAATGTAGCAGTGCATATATCTTTTCATATTAATATTTTGATTTTCTTCAAATAAATACCTGGAAGTAGAATTGCTGAGTCATTTTTAATTTTATAAGGACTCTCCATACTGTTTTTCATAGTGGCTGCACCAATTTGCAGTCTCACCAACAGTGCATAAGGGTCCCCTCTTCTCCATAACTTTGTTAACACTTACTGTTTGTTGATTTATTGATTAACATTCTGACATGTGTGAGATAATATCTCCTGGTTTTAATTTGTATTTCTCTGATGATTATTGATGTTAAGTATCTTTTCATAGATCTATTGATCATCTGTATGTCTAATCAGATCTTCTGCCCATTTTCTAATTGGATTGGTTTGTTTGTTTTTGGTGTTATATATTTTGGATATTAAACCCTTATTGGATGTATCATTTACAAATATCTTCCCCCAATTAATAGGTGTCTGTGATTTTTTTTTATGGTTTCCTTTACTGTGCAAAATTTTTAGTTTGATATAGATCCATTTGCTTATGTTTTCTTTTGTTTTCCTTGCCTGAGGAGAAATACAAAAAATATTTGAAGAGCAAAGCCAGAGAGTTTACTATTTATGTTTTCTTCTAAAGGAGTTTTAAGGTTTCAAGTCTTACATTTAGGTCTTTAATTCATTTTGAGTTTACTCTTGTATAGGTATAAGAAGGTGGCCTTGGTCTGTTTTTTTGCATGTATTTGTCCAGTTTTCCCAACACAATTTATTGAATAGACTGTCTTTAACCCATTGTATATTTTTGCTTTCTTTGTCATAGATTAATTAACCATATAGGTTTGGGTTCATTTCTGGGCTCTCTATTCTGTTCTGTAAATCTATGTATCTGTTTTTATTACAGTATCATGACATTTTGATTGCTATAGCCTTGAAAATATAGTTTGATATCAGGTAGTATGATACTTGTTCTCCTTTCTCAAGATTGCTGTAGCTATTCAGGGCCTTTGTGGTTCCATATAAATTTTATAATTATTTGTTCTAGTTCTGTGAAAAATACCATTGGCATTTAAAAAATATATCTTATTGATTTTTTACAGAGAGGAAGGGAAAGTGATAGAGTTAGAAACATCAATGAGAGAGAAACATCAATCAGCTGCCTCCTGTATACCCCTACTGGGGGTGTGCCAGCAACCAAGGTACATGCCCTTGACCAGAATCAAACCTGGAACCCTTCAGTCTGCAGGCCAACGCTTTATCCACTGAGCCAAACCGGTTAGGGCACTATGACATTTTGTTAGGGATTCCATTGAATCTGTGGATTGCTTTATGATAATTTATTATTGGTGTATAAAAATGCAACTGATATACTTATATTGTACCTTGCTACTTTACTGAATTCATTGATCAGTTTCAATAGTTTTTTTAGTAGAATCTTTAGGCTTCTCTTTATATAGTTCTATGTCATCTGCAAATAATGATAGGAATTTTTAATTCCAGTACTGTGGACTACCTTCAAGGGGTTTATGAATCCCTAAAATGCTTACAAATATAGCTGTGGATAAGGTATGTATAGTGTATGTATAAGTCAATCTGTGCATTTTCTAGGAAAAATGTCTATAGCATTCAGTTGCTTCTCAGAGGGGTATGCAATCCCCCCGAAGATGAAAATAACTGGTTGGAATATATAAATTTGCTTTTCTTGAAATCCTTCATAGTTAATAAAGATAGAAAGTCTATCCATTCTTGTAAACGTATATAATACAGAGCTTCAGGTTTATTCAAGACTTCGTAGTACCCTTATTTTGAGAGAATGTATTTTCCATTATTGTGAAATGAATCAGGCTAAAGAAAACAAGCACAGGAAGTGTTGCTCTCTTTCAGCCTCTGGAAGGTACTGGAGCAGGTGAGGTCATATGTCTCCTTTTTTTATTTCTAGCATATGACTGCCAGGAAAAATGGTCTGAAACCAAGCACAAGTTCTCAAAAGGAAGAAAAGTAGATCCGAATTGGCTTCTCCAGAGCAGAAAGAAGTGATGAGATCACATTTT